AACAATAGGGACGATTGTGACTTTACTTCTAAATTCAGAATTTGTTTCTGTCTAAGGCACAATATAAATATAATGTAAAAAAAGTTAATTTTTCTTTGTCTAGCTGGTTAAAGAAAATTATTTCAAATTGCTTTGGAGATATGACAGTAAATAGAAGGGTAAAATCAAGTAATCACAACAGGCATGCATGTATACAAATATTTCAGTGCTGGAGTTTTCTTGTACTGTTATTAAACATAAAAAATAAAAATATTACATAAATATATTCAAAATGGAAAATTTTAGTTTGCTGAAAAAGTGTGGCATATTTTGTGTGCCCCACAGGAAAAGATAATTGAAAAGATAATAAACCAAACTGTACTACTCATATGCATGCACTTGTCAAGATCATTTGTAATGTTAAAGCATGATGTTAAAATTGAATTTAGATCCACAAACATATTGTTCCCCACAAGGAAGACAATACATAGTAAAGATTACTTTATGCTAGAATGTCTGAATTATAGACATAGTCAATATTTAAGATATTTTATACCATTTGGAAAGTAAAATGCCCTCCTAATTGAGGCAAAGTGATTTCCTTTGTTTGCGGTATCTAAACATCTCTATTTCTCCACCTCTTCTTCTCAGAATATAAAGATAATATTTTCAATAGACATTAGCAAATATTTATTAGTAATTTATTATAAATAAGTATTAACTGTAAAAATAAATATTACCTTTAGAGTTCAAAGAACCCAGAGGTCTGAAATAATCCAATCTACCTACCACACAGTAACACTCTACAACATTCCTGAAAAATAGTGACACAGATCCTTTTCAACTCCACCAGAAACTCACTAATCCACTATACAATTCATTCCCCTATTGAACAACTCTAGTCACTTAAAAATGTACAGTAGAAATCTGCTTCCCCTAAACATCCACTAAATCCTCGATGTTACCTCTAGTTTAGGATCTTTCCAAGTTACTCTGAAATCTTGACACAGAATCAGGCCCTTTCTGCAGAATCAGTGACATAAGAGATTTGTGTATATTCAAAAGAAAGGCTGGAATAAAGCAAATTAGGGATATAGATAGAGAAATATCATCTAACTAGCACCCAAAAGGTCTCCAAGATGGCAAGGCACCATGGATAGAGTCCAGTCCTCTAGCCTATAGGTGCAGAAATTTGATTTTAACAAAACTTTAGAACTGAGTGTGCTGAAGAATTTGACTTGTGAATCCACTCCGCAAAAAAATGCACAGAAATTCAGAACCGCTTAACTCACTCAAACAAAATATATAACTGCCAAATGGATGAGATATTCGGATGGTACTGCCAAAGCCATTCTCAATTTGTAGGCTACATAGATGTCAAATTATTTTAAGACTATTTAGAGAGCAGAGCATCAGAACAAAAGAAATAGTTAGACTGAGTGAATACTTAAGAGCATCAGATACTGATAGTCTGGTGCATCCATCTCTGCACCTGAGACTCTGGGTTTGCCAGTTCAAGTTGGCTTCTCAGGGTACACCACCCTGGGGGACACTTGAATATATAACTTGGCTTTCAGAAACTTCTTTTGCCTAGCCATACCTTTGTCCAAAGGGAAACATTCTTCCTTCAGACATGTGAATAGGTTTAGTCCAATTTTACAGTCATAATTCTACTTTAATTCATAATGTGTTGTTTTCATAAATTAATTCTCTGAATATCTCATTTCCAGCTTTGGGAGGAGAAAAAAGCAGGGGTAATGGTAAACACACACACAACCCACCCTGGGCTGTATTGATTTAAGTATCTAAACTACTATGCCTGGCTCTGCCCCTTTTCTGCCCACTTACCCATAATAACGCTTATCACCATTTCCTCTCTCTGTTGTTTCCTTTGTCCCTTTCCCTGCACCAGGATAGAAACAATATATGTAGTTATACTTTAGAGCACCCTGCTTCTGTAATTCTTGACTAGAGTATTGATTAGCAATGCGTATGCAGCCCTATTAGCTCTGTTGCAAGTAACTCAGATTATATCAGAAATTGTTTCTTAAAAAGGTCAGGATCTCTTTTAGAACAAACTATTTGTAAACATTTAAACAGGAAACAAGTCAAGGACTTTAAACAAAGGCATGAAGAGTTTACCATTGTCACTATCTCTCTTAGAAGAAAGAGCACAACCCTTACATTAACCTCCTTTTAATGGGAGAACAGATAAATTGATGTCTAAATCACCAGCCACTGAAGGGAATATACAGACTTACAAAGTATCATATTTATATAATTTTAAATCTTTAAATTAATTATTATTGCATGAATAGCTATGTATAAACATCAGGATTACAAATACTCACCATGGTCCATACACATATTTGGTTGGGATATTATATTTCTATATCTCTACTTTTCTTAACATACTTAAATTTCATTTCTAAAATATGTCTATTGCATTACTAGAAGTGGTTATATATTCAGGTTTTAAATCAACTAGTTTACTTGGTTGGATTGACTATAAATTTGTTGACATATATTGATGATTCCTCATTTTCTTGCCCAGGGATTATTTCTTCTACTCATTTATTTTCAATCTCTCTACTTACTTATTTGACAGTATCCCACAAATCGAGCACTCCAAGCTCATAAAGAATGGTATAAACTAATTAGCAAATTTTATAATGGAAACTATTCCCCTCCCACGTGATCACCCTGTCTGAATAATGAACTTTGTGAAAATATTCAGCTTTTACAACACTAAGGCAAGAAGCTCTTATTTGAACATGTAAACAAGCTCTTATTTCTTGGTCTTTAGTTCATAATTGTGAATATGGTACAAAACCATAAACAAACAGTATGGGACGAGAGACAGAGTTAAAAATAAAGAGCCTAAAAAAAGAATTTTGAGTTAAGAAAATGTTTGATCATCTTTTGCAACTGACAGAAAGAAAAATCACCCTAATAAAAAATGCTGTGACTGAAATCTCAGTATATCACTGAAACGCAGGGAAGTTACAGAACATTACCCTGAATGCAGGTGTGCAGAAGCACTGAAGGGTTACTAACAAACACTAAATAGAAAAGTTGAAAGTTTGTTATGGGAGAAAGATCTAAAAATAGGAGTGAAAATCAGTGCTGGTTCATTACACCAGCAGTGGGGCCAGCAAACCCCACTGCTAAAGTCGCCTTTCAACGGTAGGTGCACAGTCTGACCACTCTAGCTTGTAGCCCCCCTGGCCATGGCACACAATGAGCCCAGTCTTCCTTATAGATTCATAATAACCACAGCCATCTCAAGATGCTTCTAAATACCATGGTTGCCCTGCTTCTGTTTTGGTCACGTATCCCGATATAGGATATTTCACTCAATGCTATCCAGTTCAGTTTTGGTGTTTGCTTACTGAAGGTGCAATTTACTACCAAAAACACCATGACAGGAAATTGCAAAGTAGCTTGGAAGAATGAGAGAAACCAAAATTCTGTATATGCTTAGTCCTTCCTTGGAAGTGGCTCATTCAGTTTAATGGCAATGATCAAAGTAGAAATATTATAGTGCAAACAAAAGATCACCTAAAGAGACGCAGATATAGAACAAACAAATGATTTAAATGCCATCTCCAGTCTCTCCAGCATACTTATTGTAAGTCCTTTATTAATTTGGGTATGTAATTTGAAATCTTACCCATCACACCCATATATGTAAATATCCCTACACAGGAAAGCACTTAATATATTTAACAATTTATTTCAAACTGAAATGTTTTGCAGATGACACCTAGATCTTTAACTGTATATTTTACAGATCTGCTTAAACTTAAATAATACGTTTGTCTATTTTTCTAACATTGAAGGTACATTTTTTTCTCCGGATGAATATACTCATCATTCATAACTGTCAGTAAAAATGATAAGGAATACACTACAATAAAAAAACTATACCCCTATGTGTAAATAATAGGAAACAATAAATTTCATGAAAATAGTAATTCATTTTCAATCTTTTATTATTGCTGACCAGTTGCTGTGGTGTTGAAGAGTACCTTTAAATCAACATCAAGAAAGTTATATTTTTCATTGTTTGGGCAAAAATTTCAAAGTATATCAGATCCCAGATTACAGAAGGGACTCACATAGGCAAAACTTTATGTTATAAAATTAACATGTAAAGAATCAAAAGACTGCTTAAAGATGACATTACATATATGGAAGCAAAAGTATTTGGACTAACAAAGTTCAGAAAAATATTTCCATTTCTTATAGAAACACAAGAAAACAAATACACCTTGTTAATAACAAAGGAAAACACAAGATTTTTTCTTTATCATAAGTTTAAATTTCACATAACATTGTTAACAGAGGCCAAATATGCATTAAGATATACTTACAGAATTCGGTATGTAGCGTGTTAGTATCTACATAAGTGATTCTGAAATAACATTTGCTCTTTCAATAGCTTTATTTTGGCAATAAGAAAATGTATGGGTGCTAGTAAAATTCATGTTCACAGTAGATGAAAAAAGCCTGAAAGAATACATTTGTTGAAATTTGCATTTGGTTTTGGAAAACGTCTGTTTAACAATTCAATGCAGCCATATTTTAAATTTTAAGCTCCCACATTGAGAAAGTATCAAGATATTGCAGCGATTTACTTTTAGGGACATTATGCTGGGCTTTGAAGTTCAAAAATAGGACATTTCTTCCTGATTTATTTTATGATCAATGTACAGTCTCTACACAAGAAAAATTAAAGCTGTCTGACAACTCATAGACACATTATTGGCTGTTAAAGATGTAGGAAATTACATAAAAGCATGAAAAGCACTGGGTAATTTTGCAGTTTCATCTCTAAACACAATTGTAAAGATGTCTGTCTTTCAATTCTTTCTCTTTTTTTCTTCTGAAGCATGGCCTTTTAGTGCCTGCCCTTTAAAATATTTTTGCCTACTGTAGCTTTGCTTCTTAAAGTACTGGTTGATCTTACTGGGCTAAGAAGGTATTTACAGGGGTGCTTGCTTTGTCTGTATTCACAGAGAATGCTAACAAATTAGAAGAAAGTGCCAGAGAACACCACATACCTTGCCCAGAACATTACAATGGCTTCTGCATGCACGGGAAGTGCGAACATTCTATCAATATGCAGGAGCCATCTTGCAGGTAATGCTTTTACTCTTTACCTCTTAAAATGTATAAACTAAAAATGTGGAAACCAAATTCTGGATGTTTACAGAGAATTGGATGGCATTCGGCCTGAATGGGTGATCAACAGCTAAACTTTTCTCCGACTCTCCTACATACACATGCACACACGCACCCACTAAGACACCACAAAATGTGTGTGCTTACACACCCAAGTACTCTGTAACACATCATTATATATACTCTTCTAGTAGAATTTTAAATTATGCTTTGGGCATTACAGGCTCCTTAAAGACTCAGCCTCCTCTGTTTTATTCACGACTCTTCTCCACAGACATTGAACCACACTTGTAGGTGCTTAATAAATATTTCTCACCAAATGAGTGGATGAGGCCTTATTGTACATAACATGACATAGTTGCTTTGGAGAGGTCGTATTTTCCAAAGTCTTTTATGTCTTATAATAAATATCATCAATCTTTGTTTTGTTAGGCATACGTTCTTTTCTGTCGATCTGCTATCCACAAACCTTGTATAGTAAGATTATTAGCTATACTTCAACAGATTCAAACTCAGTTGAGACACAAAAAAAATTGCTTATCTGGATTTAGTTAATAAATATGCATATCTGTTGAATATTCATGAATAGAACATAATTATTTCAGAGATGGTAAAACCAAAGTGAAGAACAAATGTATTTTTATTAAGAGAATATACAAGTGACATATGATGAAATCGGTTGTGTATTGCTACACAGTGAAAGGAGTTCCACTCTCTCTTTCTTCTCATCTCTCTCTTCCCCTCTCTCTCCTCCTCCTTCATCCCTCTCTCCTCGAGAACTAGAACTGTCTTCCTTTCATGTTTTCCTTCAGTGAATACACTAGCACCTGCCTTCCAGTGAAGCCAAGCACAGTGAACATAACTGAGGGGTTGCTCCTGCTGACTCGTCATCCTCAGCAGAGTTGTCATTATGAAACCCTTCTGATGCAGACAGGAAAGATCCCAGGATGTAGCTAGAAGAAACTCAAAGTGAAGTACTAAAATAGTTGCACAAAGTCAATGACAAGTCAATATCTATTCTTATTGTTTTTATGTGAACTGTTTTCTCATGGCATTTTCAGATGTCATTTTAACATAGAGATTGTCTACCTGAGCTTTCTGATGAGGGTTAAGTGAGAGGCAGCATTCATTCTCAGATGAATAGCACACAGGCTTGCTTTGCAGAACTACATCACCTACATCATAATTATATTTTTTTCTAGTGAAATTTAACTCTCTAACATAAGCGGTCAACTTTATGACTAGTAAATTAAAGAAATTAACTCTTGTACCTCTGGCCCTAACATTTTCAACATGTACTCTAACAGTAGCATAGAAAACGCTTTATCCAAAACTAAATAAATAAATAGCCTTATTTTTTTATACCCATGTTATCATAAAGAAACCGTTTTTCAAGTAATCATACTGACTTTGGTTGATGAAAGAACAAATTAAGTAAAATGTAAAACTCACCTGAACAAAATATAGAATGAACAACAAGTAGTTGAGAATTCCTATCTACAAAGTAGCATTTTTTTTTAAAAAAAGGGAAACAAAAAGCCCTGTTTTTACAATGAAGACATGCTTATAGGCCAACTATAAAAATGAATCCAGCAGCTTCTGGTAACTGGACACTATAATTTCTTCCAGGTGTGATGCTGGTTATACTGGACAACACTGTGAAAAAAAGGACTACAGTGTACTATATGTTGTTCCCGGCCCTGTACGATTTCAGTACGTCTTAATCGCAGCTGTGATTGGAACAATTCAGATTGCTGTCATCTGTGTAGTGGTCCTGTGCATCACAAGGTCAGTAACTGTACTCGATGGCCACCCAAGTAAAGGGATATGTTGTTCCTCCTCATCTTAATCAGATCACTCTAATTACAAATCCCTTCATGGACTCTGCAACCATGAGTTCTCTGGAGTCCTATTTCTTCATCATAATAGCATTTGAATAGCCAAATGGAAAGGTGATTGATTTTCATGCTAAGGAGTACAAATTATTTTCCTTATTTTTGCATTATGATGAGGATTATTTATTTTCTAAGCAAAGGTCTTTCCCTCCCTTTAATGTGTAATGCCAATCTTTGTTTAAATATGCTCCTCTCTTTTAACTATAAAATGTCAGTCTTTATTCAAACTATTAACATACTTTTTATATTACCAGTGTTTCCTTACTTACCTAGATCAGTATGCCAAATGAGATCAGAATAGATTTTATACAAGACCTAGAAGAGCATTACATTATGGCTGTCATTATTGGCACTTATATTTCCAAGTATAATTCTCAGATATAATCGTTTTTAATATATTTGATAAAAAACAAATACATTTTATCACAAAATTTAAAAAAATAGGAGAAAAGTTATGTTATAGTACATGAAAATCTTTGCTATATGGGAACATGCAGCAAATATCAAAATAAACTTTTATATCAACCCCCCAGAACAATCAAATGGGAATTGTTTCTCAGGGAGCTAGGTTGAGAGAGAGATACAGAAATCTCATCCAGTTTCAACAGGAAAGAAAACCATAATTATTTAGTGATGTCTGACACTGCACTTAGGGTAAAGGAGTGGGGCCAGGAACTGACATTAGTGTGGAAATTTGTGGTGACCAAGAATTAGATTCTGAATTAAATGCATTATTTTTGTCCTATCTAACCAGAAACATTATTGAAAATACTTCTTTCTGCTCTAATTTCACTCTCCTTGAGAAAAAATTTCTAAGGAAGTTTTCAAAGTTTTTGCCAAATTCACAAGGCATTTAGAATTTTATTTTTCTGTTCAGTTCTACAGTAAATCAGAATGTTTCCCAAAAAAATTAGATTCTGAATTAAATGCATTATTTTTGTCCTATCTAACCAGAAACATTATTGAAAATACTTCTTTCTGCTCTAATTTCACTCTCCTTGAGAAAAAATTTCTAAGGAAGTTTTCAAAGTTTTTGCCAAATTCACAAGGCATTTAGAATTTTATTTCTCTGTTCAGCTCTACAGTAAATCAGAATGTTTCCCAAAAAAATTATTTTCAAAGAAGGAAAAAAAAAAAGAAAGTAAGAAAAAAGTAAAAGAAAATATCATATCTTCAGAAAAGAAAGGCCATAATACATTTCAGTCTCAGTATTGTACCATCTTCTTTGAGAACAAGTGTGGCATTTGCTCTTGAAAAAGACAAAATATGGTTCACAAATCCTTGCCTGGCCTAAAGGCTTAAGGGAAGATCATTGACTTGGAGCTTTGCGGTGCTCTAAGCCAAGTTGAGTTCATCAACCCGACTCGCACGTTTAGATGCCAAGTGAGTCAATGGATTACATTAAAATAGATTCTGGGGAACATAAAGATGACTCAAGTAACCAAAATCACTGAGTGTAAAAGAAAAGATAGAAAAGAATTTAAAACACAGGAAACTGCATCATATTACTCTGAAGGTCTTTAGCCTTCTAATATCTAAGCAATATCAGCACATGAATAATAAAATTCATATTTAGTAGATCTAATTTCATAACAGTTAGATTTGCTACTTCATGTACTGACAAAAATGCAAAACTTTAAATACTTTAGCAGATGTTTTCAAGTCTGTAATTAATCATAGTTCTATTCCCATACGTAAATAAAACAACTAGAATACATAGAATCCTTAACCTCACCCGAAATTGTTTGTGTATATATTATGTGTCTGTATATATCATGTATGCGTATACATACACATATGCACACACATATACATTTAATAACATTATAAAGAAGGAACAATTATCCCATTTTTAAGATGGGGACTCTGAGGTATAAATTAACAAATTGCTGAGTGTACACAGCTGAGCAATAAGAGCTGCAATGGAAGGCTGCCTAATGTCAGAGACTGTTTACTTAACCACTGCTCAAACTGCTCCTTGGCTGGTCATGATGTTGTATATTGTGATGCATAAGGCAGCCTATACTGAGCTCCAAATTAGAACAAGCCATTTTTTCAAAGCATATGGTCATTATCGTCCACGTTAAAACAGAACTTATCTTCTATTTACTTTTGAGAAAGAGAACTAGCACATGAGCTAATTAACATTATTGTAATGCATTTATAAATCTGTCCTAGGACATCCGAGCCTTCTAAAATCTTTCTAGGTGTCCTATTAGTTAATAAACCACACTGCTGCCAGTGTGGATTAATTTCACTTACTTGAAAACATTATGCCCCAAAACTAGACTTTCCCACTAAGCCATAAGCCTGCCCTTCCTGGCGACCTGGCCACACGTGTCTGGCAAGACCTATTTCAGAATATTCAGTTACTAAAAGATTTACAAAATTAAACCAAGCAGAAGTCCTCTCATACTCTTCAGTTTTAATCTCTTCATCACCTCTCCCTTCTTTCTTTTCTCCTTACCCCACTTTTTTTTTCTAATGTCTAATATATATATTCTATTTTTCTAATATATATATGTAATATATATTTTATTCATATATTCTCTAATACCCCACAACTTATAAGATTTTTATGAACTTTATGTTGTTGTTCTTATTCGCATCGTGCAAACATTCTTTTATTAGAAAGGTAAAGATACCAGATCAGAGCTTTTCAGATAATTTGACTAATAGCTAATTTGTCTATTAGCTATTTGACTATTAGCTATTTAAATTGGTACCAATTTATGTGTTTAGCTTATACTATTAATGTACAAAAATGATATTTGGCTGAACCAAAATAATACCTATTTTCATTACATATCAGATATTAACATCTGGCTCATTCTCTGGTTTGATGGAATTTAAACTTGTAGCATTGAAATGTCAATATATCATTCATCCTTAAGACATTTAAAATATAAAATAGTTAAAGACCTTTAAAGTGAGATTAGATGGACTCATGACTTGCTTGATTGCATTATGCTTAGTCATTCTTTGTACTTTAATGAGTAAGCAATTGAGGACTAGGTAAATGTAGTGCTCTTCAAGCTGCCACCTCTGTTCTTCAGTTTTCCTCAACAGACGTTTAAGGATGACTGCAACACGGCTAGTACTAATAATAAATTCTTTCTTCTGAAATATTTTACTAACTTGCTTAATCTACGGCTTTTCTCTGTGATTGTAGGACCAAACTTTAGGTAACAGCAGTAGACTAAGATCTGTAAACTTTCCAACCTTCTAGGAAATGCCCCAGAAGCAACAGAATTCACAGACAGAAGCAAAATACAGGGCACTACAGTTCAGACAACACAACAAGAGCGTCCACGAGGTTAATCTAAAGGGAGCATGTTGCACAGTGGCCGGACTACCGAAAGCTTGGACTACACATACAGTATTATAGACAAAAGAATAAGAAAAGAGATCTACACATGTTGCCTTGCATTTGTGGTAATCTACACCAATGAAAACATGTACTACAGCTATATTTGATTATGTATGGATATATTTGAAATAGTATACATTGTCTTGATGTTTTTTCTGTAATGTAAATAAACTATTTATATCACACAATATAGTTTTTTCTTTCCCATGTATTTGTTATATATAATAAATACTCAGTGATGAGAAAGAATTGGCATTCTTAAATTTGCGATATCTCATAACTGTAAATATAATCAAGCTAGTACAATCTGTACAGGTACCAATATTTCATCTTTCTCCACATCTTGAGACAGAGCATTAGTTTATATAGGACTCAGTGTCTAGGTTTTGAGTGATGCCAAGATCAAGGGAAATGATGGTTATTGAAAAAGAGAAAAAATAATTTATATCGAGTGAGAATAAAATATTTCAGACCTTCAAATCATCTCTATTTCATCAACTTTCTTCCCTGGTCCTCCATTTTCATCCCCAGAGCAGAAAAATCTCTGGCATATAAATTAAATCAAAGAAGAAGGGAATGGAATGTGTTTTATAACTCATCCAGTAGAGGAAAAGAAGATATTGGTTTTTATTTGGAAGCATCTTAGAATCTCCCAGTTAAGCACACGTATCCGAAGCGTCCTGAACAAGTTACATATTAGGAATACACAGACCACAAAATCTATTCCATTTAGGTGAATGGAATCAACAACTGAGGGGAAAATGTAATAATATTATTAAATGTGAAATCCAAAAATCATGAATTCTCAGAAGCACCTTGCTATATTTATAGTATATAGTTCTTTTAAGAGAAGTTAAAATCACAACCAAATACTCATGAATAGCTTTATGACTAATACAGCACCATTGTTTGAAATGGAACTAAGATAAAGATAATATTTTATAAAACAGAAACATATTTTAAGCATATTTATATAATAAGGTAAGAAAGATAATGAATCCCATAGCATCAGAAAGAGCTTAGTGAGAAGTTGATGAATTTTTGAGCATACAAATAGGTAGGACCACTTCATTTGGAAAAAATTTAACTGTGAAAATTCTCAAAGAATAAAATGAAAATAACAAATCAAATAATTGCCTTTTATCATTTAGTTTTTCATAGCTTTCCGTGGCTAATATAATAAATCCAAATACAGCTCTCTTTGTCTCCTTCAAATAACCTCTACATGGCTAAAAGGAATGACACTCGTGTCAAATCAACACATTCTGAATATATAATATTCAGTGAAAAGTAAGGTTTTTAAAGTGATATTTAAGATATTTGCTAAAACAAAAAGTGACTAAATAGGATTTAGCATTCTATGAAAAACTTGGTTTTCTAGCTTAGTCATCACATAAAAAAGTGTGAATCTATTGTCATAACCATCACTCAGGTGTTTCCATAAATCAGCCCTATGCCTCTCGTATAAAACAAATTCCATTTAAACTTCTGCCTGGAATTTTAGTTTGGTTAACAGGTGCAGAAATGTAACTAGCCCTGATCTCCTTTGTAAGATAAAAGTTATGGCAAGTAAACCCTTCCTTCTAAACGAAGCCCAAAAATGCAACATCACAGAGCTTAGTAAAGCTTAAAAAGGAACAGCAATTTTACTGACTTTTACTTGTAAGTATGAAATCACTTGCTTTGTTAAATATTGATACATTATTTTGCATGAATTTTTATTGAAGAATTACAAACCCAAGTGTTGAAAAAGTCCTTGGAGTTAATAATGCAACACATGCTTACCCACTTCATGAAAGAATCCATTTTAAAAGATGCAATAACAAATCTTAAGTGAGCATATTCTGTGTGCTAGGCACTATTCATGGTCCTAGAGAAATACAAATAAAACATAATTTCTACTATAAAGAAACTCACAATTAAGTCCTGACAGATAATCATCCAGCCTCTATTTGCATGTGTCTTATAATTTGGAATGTCGTTCTTGAACAATACTAATTTTGATACCTTTTTTTCTCATATTGAGATGAAATTTACTTCTCTATGTTTTTTACCCATGGCAACAATTTTTCCTCTCTGGAGCAAAGGAATAATGAGTTATGTATTTTAAAATATTAGGATGGATATCATATTTTTCCACTCACCCATGGCCCTTTTGCAAGTGTTTCTTCTCCAGATGAAACATAATGTCCTTATCTGATCTTTATTTGATATAGTTTCCATATCCCCCTAGTATCTGTATCATCCTTCTTCAGAAAAACTCTACTTAGTCAATATATTTAAGTGTAGATCTCAGAATTGCACAGTCTACCACACTTGTGGTCTGACCAGCACAGAATATAGTTGAACTTTGAGAAAGTAAATTAGACTGAGAACCATGATCTCTAAATTCAAGTCCTACTTGACTATAGATTCACTGTGGAATCATGACCAAGTCCTTTCACATCTCAAGTCTCAATTTCCTCATCACTTTTATCTCTGTAATTCCAAGATTTTAGATATTTAAAAACCAAGCACTATACTCCTATTATTGCTACCTAAGACCTCATTCACTATTTTTGTTACTTGTTCTCACCTTAAATTCAAAACTCTTTCTAAATAAACTACTGTTAAGCCATGTCATTCACTCATTCATTTATTTATTCAACCATTGATTTATTATATATTATATATGTATCGAGGGCAACCAATTACCAACACCAAACTAAGCTATGAGAAGACAGAGAGAAACAAGGCAGAGTCCGGGCCTGAAAGGAACTTGCTATCAGACCATCCTGGTTCCTTGCATCAAAGATCTCACAGACTGAGAGGTAAATAAACGATTATAAAATATACAGTAAAGGCTATGATAATGGTCAGTTCGGAGTGCTTGGGGACCCTATAGGGGAAATCTCCAGGCTGGGTAGATGTGTCTCTTCACAGTGAGATATACCAATTGACTTCATCATTCTCCATCCAAACTCTGACTTCTTGCTTCTGAGATTTTATTCACTCTTCATGTTTTCTTCACACCCTTCTTTCCACAATACCTAGAGCAGATAGCAGCTTAACAGTGAAACCTCCGTGACTCCCTTGGCAGTCTTCCTAATTCTGTTAGGGTACTTCTCATGTTATTTCTTAATTGTTCATGCAAATCTGTCTTTTCCTTGGCCTGGGAGCAAAGAGAAGGCAGGAAATTACTGCCTGCCAGTTGTTTCCATTTATTTCAACAAACATTTTTTGGGGTACCTACACCATATCAGACACTATTCTAGGTGCTATTATGTTAAAATGAAGCAGATAACAAGTCTCTGCTCTCAGGTTTACATTCTAGCAGAGGAGGTAGAGGTGAAGATTAATCAAACAATAAACAATAACAAGAACAGCGAAACTAGAAAGTTCTAAGTTCTATTCAAAGAATTAAAAATAGAATGAAGTGATTCAAGGTGACTGGGAGGTTACTGGAGATTAAGTCTCTCCAAGGAGAGTGTAGCATTTAAAACTTGGCCTCTGAAGCATAATAGAAATGGGTCCAGTCTAAGCTCCACTTTACTATTTAACCTTGGGCAAGTTGTCTCATTTCTTTATGTCTCGTATTTAAAATGGAGAGAAAAATATCTTCCCACATGGACGATGGCTATTATGAGGAATAAAGAAGACAATCCATGTTGTGCTTAGAGCAATGGCATGCACAGAACAAACTTTTAATATATGGAAATTATTTTTAGGGATATAATATATATTTATTATAAAAGTAAATAAGAATAAGGCATATTTCATCAGTTAAATAAAGCATAGTGGGAATCATATGGTCAGAGTTAGAAGGACTCATCAATCATGCTTATTCAAAGGAGTGCCTCTCATACCTTTAGAGACGAGAGAGCTGGTTCTGGAAAAACATGGCAATATAGAGTTAAGAAATAATACAGCTCTTCTAATTTTTTTTTTCAAATAGGTGCATTGGTATCATATCTGAACAAGAGGAAGGATCATTCTTTCATTTTAAAAGAGATCCATCCTGATAAAGCATATACCCTTAAACCTCTTGTGTGTTTCTAGGCACAGGATGACTGAGTCAATATTGCAGTGGCTTTGCAGAGCCAAATTCTTTACGTTCATGAATCCTTGAGGAAAAGCCAGTACAGACTATGGAAATATGACGGAGATTATCTCAAAGTCATGTTAGACTCTCTACTAATGTTTATCTTCAGAAGCTACTTCCCTTTTCCAAAGTCATGTAGCACCTGCACCAACTCTTACTGTTCCTCAATTATCGTAAATGCTTCACTTATATAATTAATCATCTGATTAATTAGTTATATAATATAAAAAGATTGTTTTGATGTCAATAACAAAAACCTTTTTATTGAATTAATTGATATCTTTATATGAGCATCCATATTATACTACTCGTTTTTATAACCAGTCCATAAATAAACAAATGAGTATGGCCCTTTGAAACCAACATCAGGAAGGTATGGATGAGGTGCAGCCTACCCAGCCTCACTTTAAGGCTTTTTTCCAGCCTCACTCTGGACAGAAATATACTTTACTGGTCCAACTGCTCTGGAAATGTGGTCTTGATTAATATCTATCTCCCGTGACACTAAATGAGTCTTTTTAACTCAGATATTTTTACTTCTAACTTTTTAATTAATTTGCATTATTTCTCTTGCATCAGGTAAGAAGTGAAAAAAAATGCTTTCCTTTATTTTTTCCAAACCAAATTTAATCAAACACAAGAACCTAACTCAAAGTTAATGAGATGTCTAAAATCAGGTATTATGGAGGAGAGAGGGACAAGGGAAGAGGGGGGAGGAGCAAGTCCTGGTCCTCCACTCCTAGTGATCTTACTGCTATTGCTAAACCTGCCAGTCTTCCTGATCCATCAGAGGCACTCCTCCCACAGGAAGCTTAGGCACAGTGATCTCCTAAGGCAGCAGCTCATAGGATCTCCATGGTCAACCCATTCTGCAAAGTGCATTTTGAGGAAGCTCTGTGCCCTTCCTCTCTGGGGGCGGCTCCCCTTACTGGACTTCCTCATCTTCTCAAGATCCTAACCACCTTTTTCCTTTACCTCATGATGCCTCCATCCTCTGTTACAGCCTTTCTCTGCCACAATACAGCTTAACTCTCCCCCACAGACATAGGCCTTGAAAACAAAGTTTTTATGAGTCTAGCTATGAGAACAAAGCACAGAGTTATGTCCTAAATCGTCACCATAATACATCAAATTATTAGTAAATATATTATATAAATAACACTTTTAACTAGTAGAATTAGAAAATATAGACAAGCCAGAAACATAAAATAATCCCACCACCAAAAGACAAACATCATGGTTATTTGCATGTACCCTTTCAGATAATTTTTGTAAAATATATATTGAGGTTTTTATAAGGCAATAAAATACATTTTAATAAACTGAATTCTCCCTAAAGAACAAGCTAAAAAGTTTCATAGTCATTTAAGCATAATTTATCAAAATGCACACACATACAGTGTGGTTCTTATGTAAGTTTCAATCCCTCTCAGTCAGGAATCAGTGAAGCCTTCAAAGAGTTAAACTGAAGATCTCTAAATTACCCATTTGCATCTTTATCTTTCATTCCCCCATATCACCAATTTCCCACCATTTCCCATACTACTTGCAGGGGCCCTTCTGGTCTCAGAGCTTTTATACCACTTACAAGGTATTCTCAGTCTTGCAGTCTGCAAATACCTCAAATTTACCCATATAGCATGAGGACATCATCAACAGAGTTTCTCCTTAAATTGTCCCTGTGCCTAACTGATTTCTATCTAGATCTCAGAATGCTAAAACAGCTTTACCCTCTAATCACCATGAAGATGTTTTGTTTCTCTTTTTACTCTGTGGAGGCCTCTCTCTGAAGCTTGGACTAGAAAAGGGTTTGGCCATTTAATCATCACATGCCCACAATGTACTTGTGCCAATGCTGCCATTCCTACAACATTTGCACGGTGCTCATCGGAGTTGACTTGTTTCTCAAACTAGTACTCTCCTTCCCTGCCTTACATGGCATGAGTAAAAAGCCATTCATTGACATTAATGGAGGCATTTGATTTAGTTCAGAACAAGGAGTTAGTACAACTAGTGTCACATTAAATAACAATAGCAATGACATTAAGAGATGTACTTATTTTTACTTTTATTCAAGATGTATCACTTGACTATATTAAAAAGTACTTAAACCACTTTCAAACTTGAACACAACATAAAATTGAATAATTAAAAATAATATAAGAATATTATATTACTTAAATAAAGGAATGCGCAAATAGCTGCTACCCATCACCTGAGCTGAAGTTTGTGTTGAAGAACAAAATTCAACTGAGTAAGTTTGAAGATCTAATTGCTTTATTAAGTGATTCATAAATCGGGCAGCATCTCCTCTAGCAGCTAGAAGGGTGTTCTGAGGGGGTTGTACAAAATGAAAGGTTTTTATAGGAAAAAGGAAAGCTATTAACAAAATCAAAGAAGGGATTATTTTTAGACTAGGATTTTTTTTTTTAGGTGTAAGGGGAGAAATTCAGGGGTTTTTATCATGCAGATTGCCTCTTCTTTCTATGGGAGATGGAGAGGGAACTATGTGACAGATTACCTCATTGGTGTTGACCATAAAATTCCAGACTGGTTAATTAAAATTATGTTTCTGGGAGAAGCTGAAATACCAATTAGGTCAGGTATTAAATCTAGGTTTGGTATCATGGGCTTTAGCACAATGATGCCATCTTGGGCCAGTGGTTTTCTCTTTAACATCGGCTACTACAAAAGGGCATTGAACCTTATGGGACGAACTAGTCCAGTAAATACAATCTTTTTTTCTAACAGGCTTTATGATACGTTGCTTCAAGGAGTCTCTTTACAAGAACAAAGATGAAGTAAAAACACTATGGCCACTAGGGAACACACTGCCTTACTTCTTACTTGGAAAAAAAAATTATTAGCTGGAAGTTACTTATCTGTTCACATTCATAACCTTTGGACCAATGGCATTTCAAGTAAGACACCTCAGAGCAAGAAATGACAATATGGGGGATGGGGAGAGAAGAAAGGGAGCAAAAAAGAGTAAGAGGGAGAGATCAGAGGTCTTGGGGAGGTGAGAGGGATGAAGAGAGCAAACAATTGGATTGGGAGGAGGAGGGCAATTTATGGAAAAAGAAATTTAAGGAATAGTTATTTCAAACAGTCCTTCAAGAAGAAGCATTTAAGCAGAATGGCAGGAATATGGAATGGCAGCAAGACAACAGGGAGCAGAAAGGTGGCACCCTGGGAAGGCCTCTTGCCCTCAAGTCTCAGAAGGCCAACCTGCCATGTGTACAGGGTTGGTTGGCAAGAAGCTGGTTTGGCAAGCTGGGCAGAATGAGGCCAAGACACAACTCCAAAAATGACTGTTCAGGCCTCCGGGTGAAGAGGGAAATGTGTTTAAAATAAAAGTTTTGTCATGTGCATATTTTCTTCCTCCCAATACTTGACCTCAAGATATGCAGATTAGATTCTTTATATTCTGCAGGACAACCTTGTCCTACAGCACTAGATCTGCTCCTTAGGTAGAGAATAAAGGAACAGCTCGTCCTCTCCGATCAGAGGCTAGCCCTCCCTCTCAGGCTGTGGAGGTGAGGTGGCAATCATAAAAGCAGGCTGCTGGATAGCATCTAATCTGGCTACACTTGGAAAACAAAATCCTGGGATCTTAAAGCAGCCCTAAGCAGCATTAGAAAAGACACGCTAAAAAAAGGAAACAGACTAGGCCTTGCTTGCAAAAGACAAATCCATCTGTGGTCTGCCTGGGGAAATATGGGTCAGAACTGCCAAGCAGAGCAAACCATCAGAAAGTATTGTTTAGGTTTGAAAAGATGAGTAGGAAGAGAAAAATGACTGCTCTATAAGTGGAGGTTAAGAAAGAAATGGGAATGAAAGCCCCAGTGTTCCACCTCTCAAACTTTCCAAAGGCATGTGGCTCAGTTTTTGACAGGACAGCATGATCTGAGCTGGTAATTTGTAATCAAGCTCACGGACCCAAGTCTTGTAAACAACCAGTGATGATGCTGACGTCCCCCCAGAGAGCTGAGACTTCACTGTTCCAGCATTTACATAATAACATTATATTTCTCCTTTAAATAAGATGTACATGAATGTTCACTTGCACCCAATTACAGTAATGCATGATTTACATAAAATTAACTCTCCTCCTTAATTACAGTCACACAGGGATTAAGGAAGAAAGGGCTTTTACTTTGTAAATATTATATGCTTTAACACTTAGCCTCCCTATAAAATATAACTGGCCCAATCCCAAACAAAAACAAGTTTTTAGTCACTGGATTTTACCACATGCTTTCTTCTCTTTTATCAGGATTACATGTACACCGAATCACGAGAGTCTTTCTCTAGTTAGAGCAAAGGGATCCAGTTCTGAAATGTGAGTGTATAAAGCAGAGTACTTTGTAGCAAAGATCTCAGGTTCAGAAGTTTTGCATACACTGCTGAGTTTAACTGTCTGGGTAAGGAATCTGCAAAGGGCAAGAGAATGAGTCTCTAGTTTTCCAAAAGCAGCAAGGAAAATGCTTTCTTCAAAGGGCGATCCAAAGCCGCTTTGACAACAAAATGATTAAAGGCTGCCTCTTCTCTCTTCTTGCATCTGTCACTTTTCTGCATTCCTTTTTCCACAAACATGAACACAATTTTTCTCTGAATGAGACTTCAGATTGCACATTAACGGGGAATTAAAAGTGAAGTTCACTGTAACCCATACCAAAAGCTTTTTTCCCCCAGCCTCTGCCAGACCTGATGCCAGAAAAACGGAGCTGAAGAAAAGTCATTGAGCTGGCACAATAAATAAATGATTGAAGGCAACAGGGATTGAAGTTTCATCGTTATCAGTTTCAGTGGGGACGTGAAAATGCTTCTCTGAAAAGCTGCACAAAAATATCTCAAGGAGACCGAATGCTCACCGCACTGGCTAACCATAAAAGATGGAAATTTCATTTTTGCCACATTTTCAACCCTTTTTTCACTTAGTACGTGGAAGAGCCAGATGCCATAAGAAAAGGCTTTGGAGGGGAAAAAAAGAGACAAAATAACCAGTGAATGCCTGGGAAAATTCACAGAAGAGCAAGATCTTATATTCAGAGCAGATTGCATTTACAAAGAAAGGACTGTAAATGGAAATTAAGCAAATTGGATCTTATTTTCAGAAAATATAAAAATAAAGAACATATTCCCAACTCAGGGCCTGAGTTAATTTCTTTAGCAAAACCTTTCAACATGATGCCTAATAAACTAGTATGTATATCACCCTAAGAACTTTCATGAAAAAATCATTAACCAAAAATTGCATTTAATATGTGGAAGCACATGGTATACGATACAGAATTATTTTACTTCATAATCTCTGCCTATCTATTCAATAACAAAACCTAAAGTGAAAGGACCTTTTTCAAGTCCTTGAATCCAGGAGGGCATCTGTGGGGAGATTTTCAAAGACATCTTTGGAAAGGCTGGAAGTAATATGCAGTTACCTGGTAGTTTGGGGGGACATTGGTCCAGTCACCTGTGTTTTGCTTCTTTCTTTTCATTGCTGCAAATTTTTCTGTCAGGATCTGAGACATTGGAGAGATTAAATTGTTGATTTTTTTTTCCTTCTTTGAAATCAAGGTCTTCCTGTTCTCCTGAGTTATCATCTCCCTGGCACTAGCTGCTTCCCATTGTGCCTGATGCTGTGAATCAGCCTTGGATTTTCTACCCTTTGATCCTTCATTGAGTTGTTGTTTCACAGTATCAAAAAGACTCGAAAGCTATAACTTGAATAGTGGCCATACTCAAAGGAACACTATGCCAGACTTGATCTTGAATACACAAAGTCAAAACCCCTTCCATTTAAGACAAAACCTTCTGTTTAACCTGATAGTAAGGGAATGAAACTGTCCTTAAAAGACTGATTTTTCTTTCTAGCTACGTCTGAAGATTTTAAGAATTGATATTATGGTTGATTGATTGTGATTGTATAATGTACACAAAATTACAATTTATAAATAAAGATAAAAATAAAATCCATACATATTGATTTCTAACTCATCTTTTATAGGAGAGGTGTTGTTTTGGGCCAGGTATGAATACTATTTCACTTATTTCTTACAATAGGGCCCTGAGACATGTTATTATTATAACAGTTTTATGATGTAATAACTGTAAAGTAACTTGTAAAGTTGTAAATAACTTAAAGTCACAGAGCTAGGATGAGCCACAGTCAAAATTTAAACCCAGATCAAACCAAAATCTATTCTGCTCCACTATATCACGCCTTTTCTATTACTTTTTGTCTTATACTAGCATGCTAGAAGTCTTTCAAGGTCACCTATTGGCCAGACAAATACTTGTTCTGATAATGCTGCCATTGCGGAAATTATTTTTGAAATTTTGCTATGGAAGGTATCCTCAGAGACAATTTATGAACTATACCAGAACACTTGTTTCAACATATATATCATAAGAATGCTGTTTCTAGTTCCCTACCTTTCTTTTCTTTCTCTCTTCCTCCTCATTCTCTAAATTTTAATGAACTTAGCTGTCCACATAGCTTTTTTATCTAAAGTATAGATGCCAGGAGAAAGAGTTTAACAAGATAATTTCAGATAAGTAATATATGAGATATTATCTTGTTATAATATACGAGTAATATATGAGACATTATCTTGTTCAAATGTATACTTGTTTCTCTGTCTCTTTTCTATGTTTGGCTCATCTACCTCAAGGAATGTTAAGCTTTACAAGATCAAGAAGCCTGTCTCGTTTATGTGACCCCAGTGCTTAGAATAGTTCTTAGAACATTGTAGGTGCTTAATTAACACTTTTTGAATGAATGAATGAATGAATGAATGAATGAAATTAAAGTCACCTCTGAGATTTTATGAATCTATCTGGAATAACTGGCTATATTAGTCAGGGACATAACTGCTATAATGACATAAATCAGCAGAAGTTGTACAAGACATGTTTGGTTTGAAAGTTACTAGTCTCTGAAAAAGGCCCCCAAAGTCTAAGCTGACAGTGCAGAGGCTGCTAAAAAGGGCCTTGGAGTGTCTTTTCCTTTCTTCTTTCTTTCTTCCAACCCTCCATAAGCCATACTAGCTTCCAGGCAGCACCCTGGTGGGGCAAAAGGTAGTATGGAGCTTGTGTGCTATAAATTACAGTCATTATAACATGTCAGTTACCCCCTAGCTGAGATCTTTAACTCATTGCAGCGAGAGCTTTCAAGGGCATCCACTTTCAGAAAGGTTTAGGAGCATTAAATGCTTTTTGCAACCCAACAGGCTTTTTAACTCATGTGCATCTGACACTTATGGGGTGCATTTTATCTCCCAACCTATTTAACTAGGAGTCTTCAGATTAAAAATGATTTGTTGCTTCTAAAAGGCACTTGAACTCTAAGCTTCATTTGTAAAAGCTGTTCTATTTCCCTTATTTCTCATTCTGTCCCTTCAATACCTAGTACAAAGCAGCATAAGGGGCACAATGCATTGTGGGTACCTTGACTGCCAAATACAGCTGTATCATAAAGCTCATTTAGAAAAATGAGTAAAGGCTAAGTCACTATTGAAATATTCAGATAGCAGACATACACATTTTGAATAGTCAGGATGGAAACATACCCTTGTTTTACTTCTTATTAATATCACTTATTTCTGACCTTTTCTCAAAGTTGGAAAACTTTTTAAGTGGCTCTGCATGGCAGAGGTCAGAATGGCCAAAAGGAGAACCGATATGTAGGATAAAACTCAAACACTAGGCAAGAATAAAGGAACAAGGGACACCTAGTCTGATTTCATTTATTCAAGACACGGGTTCTGATTCTATCATTAGCCATTCATGTGCTGAGATGCAAGTACAAAAGAAAAATGTTAGCTACCGAAGAACAGTACTTCCAAAGCTGCTGAGGTAGAAACTGTAAAATGAACCCTGCTTTCCATGAGGTCAGCCATAAATGAAAGAGATGTATTCAGAATAAATTACCACCAGCGAAGGCAAACAGAGAGCCCTCTCTGGTGAGGAAAGCAGGTACTTTTGGATTTCACATGCCAAGCTTTGTCATATAGAAGAGCTGAGAGTGAAGAAAGGAAAACCCATTTTAAATGACCTAATTGTAAGGATCTATATTGCACCCCCTACCTGTTTTAAAATTTCAAATAAAAAGAACCTGCTTAGGTAATGGTTAATAAAAATGATTAGTAGCTAGAAGGCATTGAATCTGTCAGACCCAAAATGTGTTAAAGAGAAAAATCGATAAATCTTACAGGAAATTAAACTGTTCTTAATTGCATACATTACTATTACGTGTTTGTACATTTATTATTAAAATTTGATTATTCTTTTCTTCCTTGGTATAAGAAAAGTAAACTGGAGGTCCAGTGAGATTTAATTGTGCTGTATTTGTTATCTGAATTGGGTCCATTCAGATCTGTCCTGGGTCCAATGAACTATTCCAAGAAGAGGCTATGGGGACAGAACAATATGAGGAGCTACAAATTCAGTGCAAGGACAGCCTTAGATAACTATAAAGGGATTTACCAGCTGCAAGGACCTCCACACTAAGTACATGGGCACCAAGGCAAAATGTTAGCAATACACTTTTAATCTCTGAGTAGAGACCTGATCTAAAAACCAATGGCAAGATCTATGAAGCCAAGCTATCTATAAATAATGCACACTGGTTCCTTAAAATATAT